TGTTCGACACATCGACTCTCAGGTGGTGCCTACAAACAGCTCTGGTGCTGCATGAAAGCTTCATAAATACATATACCCAGGGGTCTTAGACACACACTCAAGATATGACTTTTCCATGACCACCGTATTTAAACTGTATATGACACGACTTCTCTGAACTGCAGGACTCTCAGCATGTGAATTCGCCCTGAGCTCAAGGTGCCTCTGAGAGACACACACAGAGAGAGAACATACACAGTCGTATTCATGAAGAAACTCTTATCAATGTGGCTCCTGTCCAAACCACATGTACACGGCTGTTTGCTGGGCTGTGGGAAGGAGATAAGTATTTTAAGGGTAAGAGCGGGAAATCACTGCCGGTGCTTCAAACTCCTACTCCATTGTTTGTTGACTTTAGTTTGGGTCATGTGCCTAACACATTTTCTTTTTAAAGGAGGAAAGGAGCAGAGAGGAGGGGCTGATTTTAATCATTTTCTCACATCCTTTTCTTCAGAATCAGAATCAGAAACGGGTTTATTGCCAGGTAGGTAGACACGTACAAGGAATTTAACTTGGTGTCGTGATGCATACATAAAAGTAAAACAAGAATGAAAAAACACAGATAGAGAACTATTTTAAGAACACTATAGTATCATTCATGTCTGTCATCCTCCCACTTTGAAGATGAAAATGAAATATACAATTTATATATACCGTAATTTTCGGACTATAAGGCGCACCTGAATATAAGCCGCAGCAGCTAAATTGAATGATGTGTACATATATAAGCCGCACTGGACTATAAGCCGCAGGTGTTTTAATGTTTAATTACCATATGTAAGGGTTCGTGCACAGAGGGGATTGTCGGGAAAGAGATGGCTGTTTGAGGAAGCTCCCATTTATTAACATTTCAACAAACAAGTTGCATATTTGCATAACGTATTCAAGTGTTACCATTTAGTGCAATAGTAGCTACAGAACATGTGGCTGTGTAAACTGTACTGTATCACATAGCGTTTCAGACACACAAACTTTTCAACTTTCAAACTTAAACGGTGCGCTCCCAGCGCCCGTACCGGCAGTGATCTACAGCAGTGGTTTTCAACCAGTGGTACGGGGACAAACTGTCTCGCTCTCGTAATGTCTGTCTGTCTTGCTCTCGTTTTGTCTCTCGATTCCACTTTTACTTTTGCGCTCTACCTGTCTCACTCTTTTCCGGCCTCCAGCTTTTCCTGCTGGAGCCCGCCGCTTAAAGGTGGGGGGCGCGGACCGGCCATAGAGCCCATAGAGTTAAAGGTGGTGGACTGTAACCTGTAAAATCCATAGATTTAGGAGGTCCCCTAGTGGCCGTTAGCTGGAAAAATCCATAGATTAGCCGCACCGTTATATAAGCCGCAGAGTCGAAAAATGGGACAAAAGGCGCGGCTTATAGTCCGAAAATTACGGTAATCAAAACATATAATATATATGATTCTGAAATGGGCCTATATGAGTACTTTTGGTACTTTAAGTATATTTAGATGCCAATACTTTTTACTTTAGTAACATTTGAAATACAGGACTTCACGTTGCATCAGAATATACCTACAATGGTATTTCTACGTTTTACTTAAGTACAAGATCTGAGTTCTTCTTCCAACTCTGTAACAGTTAGCTTTCTTTGAGGCACAATTTGACAACTCGTAATGTTAAGCAAACCTCTGCAAAGACACAGGTAAATGAGAGGCTACAGGTACGACTAAAACACTGAAGGGAAAAAAAAGAACGTGACAATAATGGGGTTGTGGGAGATGGATTAAGGACCTGGGGAGTTGTCCAGAGGCATCTAAATCTCCGAAGCAGAGGGAGGGGCAGAGGCATGGATGGATGAGTGACAGTTAGATGAAGGAGGCGTAGCAAGAGGGAAATTACAATCCTCTTTCTGCTCTGCTTCTCCCTCGTCGACCCCCCCTCACTGCTCTCATCATTAAGGAGTTGTGCTCCGAGGCATTCCTACTCAAGTTACCTGAAAAGAGACATCCCCTTTCATTCGGCCCTTTCTCTTCCTCTGTCTACCCTGCAGGCAAATTCTAGCTGTCAGATCAAACAGGCAGCAGGTCTACACAACACAGAGACTCTCTCCCCTTTATTCTTAAGAAAACGTATTTTTTTTAAACAAATATAAAAAAGGCATGACAGGGACTGCAAGAGAAAACGAGAGGGAGGGGGGAAAAGGCATCGAGAGGAAGGGAGTTAATCAGTCTGCACCATGGCCCAAAAGCAGACAAAGAGATCTTGTTCTGGAGGGAAATAGGGTTTGGACAACGCCGTGTGCGTAGCTTCACTGTAGCTTCGACTGCTCAGGTATTCAGTCAGTGAGTCAGACTCCATGTTAGTGTCAGTAATCTTCCTTGGCCCAAAAACAAGACCACTGTTTGTATTATCGAAGCCAAAAGTTCATTAGAAAACATTCAGGAGTCTTTTTAGCAATCAGTTACAAACACACATATTTGGCAAACTTGTGACAGGCTGAAGTTCCCACAGAAACACACTTTCTCACACTCAGAGCTGATGGCTTGCAGTGGCACCGGTTAGACGGCTTTCCTCCACCCTGTTAGTCAGCTCGTCGACCTATCCCATGCACTTTAAAGTCACCCACATGTTTCATGTAAGAAAAAGAGAGACACCTGAGCTTCGGTTGCAAAAACCCATTTTCTTTTATATTTGTCATTGTCTTAGTAGTCTATCTTACTCATTTGCATGCAGACATCTTAAAAACGTTTCCTTTTTCACCTTTCCCTTCCCTTTTCTGTCTTAAATGAAAAAAGTGTTAAAGCCTAAGATAGAAAAAGTCTCTAAAATGAATTCAAAGTTGGAAAACAGAGACATACACAATATGTTGTGTTGTGTTTTCCAAGATGTATAGGCACTCTGCAGAAGAGGCAGGAGCCAATTTGCACAGAAGCTCATTCTGTTGCCAACCAAAACAGGGCCTCTTCTCCACTGCGTGCAGCGGGTTTCATTAGGAACATCAAAAACATACAACTGCTGAATAGACATTATTTTTAAAGTTTTTCGTTAAACTGAAACAAAGTAAGTCACATGGTTAAATGTCTCGTGCTTTTTTTGGCCCAGGCTAATGTAACGGTAAAAACAGATTTAACTGTCCATCAGTTGTCCTTAGTGTTCTCATATTAAATGTTTCATTACACAGTTCCATGCAGTCGGACGCCATGCGTACACAATTAGGCTGGTCAGGGCTAAAAGGGCAGAGCGACTGTTTACTTACAATCGGCTGCCTTTAAATGCACTGAGGAGACTAACAAACACATCATTTGATTTTTACACAATGAGCCTTTTGACCAGCACAGTGCAGATGGCCCCAGTCAGAGGCAAGTGCGTGCGTTTGTGTAGATGTAAATGTTTGCATGTGAAGAGAAAAAACTAAATATTTAATTGGTCTAACAGTAGTCCTGCGCTCTGTCAGCTGATTCTCCTAAAATGAGAGAGTCCTCTTTGTGTGTCTTCAGGGCTCCGAAGTGTATCTTTTATCTTCAATATCATCATTTAATACATAGAAAATAAAACCCACTGACTTCAGAAATGGAGACAGTTTGGCTGGCGAGAGCATGAGTAAATACAGCCGATAGTCTCACCTTTCTTGAAAAAGAAAAATGGCTCATTACCTTGAAAAAACAAACATGTCACATTATTATAAATGTCATCGAGGTCAAAGTAATATGAACAGCAAATAAATGAAACCTTAGAGGATGTGGTGAAAGCTTAAACAGCAAATGAGACGCATGCCAGCAGGTACTGGCATGAAGCCAAAGCTCTACTGTACGTCTGTCTCCCCATGGTAGCAACACACCTGTGAATTAGGGTGTGATTTTTGATGAGGATCTGTTATTTTAAAGTTATCTATCCAAGAAAATCCAATTATTTTTCATCCATCAAATACATTTCAAGTGAGCCGTCCTTGAAAATGTCCGGCTCCTAGCCTGTGTTTCATCACATATTCATTAACCTGCACACGCACAACACTCTAGTCCAAACGCAGCGAGACGATGGACCAAGTTGACGTAATGCGTCTACGTTCTCTCACACACATGCAGAGGCAATAGCCCCCTTTGCACCTGCAGTGCAACCTGACCTTCAATTAAACATGGGGGGATGTCAAACAACTGATTAAGGAATGTGCATTCTCCTTCACTTTTTTACAGAAATAGCAGTGTTGAAATTCCAAAAGCTCTGGGAACAGACACACAGTGCGATTCACAGCACTTTTAATGAAACATGAGCAGGTTCATGAACCAGCTATGGTGTGTTTTCATAGGGAATTTGGCTTGGGAGTGGCAATGCAATTATAAAGATAGCTCCGTCTTAATTACTAACTAGGCTAAGCTGTCAGAAAGTGGAAGGCATAGATCAAAACAGGCCACTGTTCTCCTTTACACTACCACACGTTTCCCTTAATGATCTGATTGCACCACCGATAGTAGAATTGCCTTCCTTGCAGGTTATTTCAAGTTTCCACCACATCATGCCGTGTGCCAAGAAAGTCTACACTCACATGATTAGCCTACTTTTTTGTTTTTAATCATCCAACCACGTTTTTCCACATGAATTACACTGAAGTTATTTTCTCATGTAGTAACATTATCTCGTCATTGTCTCCGTATTCCTAAGATACAACAAATTAGTGGGCAGTAAAATGTGTTCGTAACTCAAGAAGGCAAGTTATAAAACCCCGGATATGTCCTCAATGACATCTTGGACGTGGAAATGTGTGTATTGGTATTGTTCCCAGTACTGCTGTACTTTGTCAGACAGAGCAGTCTTTTATTGCCTCTTTCGTGTCTGAGCAAAACCTCATGGTCCCATGGACAGGCCAGGGTGGATCGAGAAACCCTTTTTCTGTTCTGGTTTTCACATCCAACAATCTCCGTATCAGCGGATTCTATTTCAGCGATCACATTTGTGTTGTGATTACAGCATGTGTTCAACTAAAAAGCCTTCATGACCCAGATAGTCGATCTTACCTGCAGTATTCGGTTCCATTTTTGAAGGTCAGACATGTAGCGTTGTTAACACAAGGTTCCTTATCGTTCAAACACTGCAACGCTGTAAGAGACAAGAGACCAGTTAGAAAGAGGCATTTTATCAGCTTAACAATTAAAACATTGGATAATACTTGTTGTGTGTGACATTTGATTGCAGGTAAATATAGAGACATGGTGATAATTCAAGGTTTTTTTTATTAAACCATTCACAGAAATATCTGCCTTCACACACTTCAAAAAGATCAATTTTGAAGTGTGTGGTGACTATGTTGCCACCTTAAATCAGAAAGAAGTTAGAGTAGTATTAGAACCTTCAGCTTGCTTATTAAAATGCAGTGATTTGTATATTGTCAAATGTCTGCTGTCTACTGTGCAATGTTTAACAGTATGCAGGTTCCTTTATGTCTTGATATCGTGTGTTATGTTGTAGGGCTGAACGATTAATCAATTTTAAATCGAAATCGCGATTTGAAATGATGCGATTTTTTGTTTTGATTTTTTTTTTTTAAATTCAAAAATGTTTTTTCTTGTGTGTCAGTCATCCACACCAATCAGAAGTGCTGTGCTCCACATTTACCAGCCATTGTTAACCAATCAGAAGTGGCCCATGATAGAAGGTGATAGACAGATTGATCCAATCACCTGCCAAGTATTTTTGAAAGTGCCTGCCCTTTCCAAATGGCTTCCAATGGAGCTTTCCTAGATGGTTTGGTGAAACAAACCATCTGAGTCAGGTTAGTAATGCTCCATCACATGTTTCTATTACAGGGTGAATCTTAAACTGAAGCTTGACTTTAAAGCAACCCAACGGAAGTTTACTT